TTAACCAGACTCTTCACATCGAAGGATCACTTCTTCTTCAAGGCAGGGAAGCTTTCGCAGTATGCAGTCTACTGTCCCGCAGCTGCTGCCTCTCTGTTGGACTCCGGTACTGCACCTTACTCACAAGACGTTGTAAAAAATGGGGTGGGGGGCCGAACGCAGTAACCACGCCACAGTCACCCCCGTCGTGCGGGCCGGATGAGAATGTCTGGCGGGCCGGATGTGGCCCGCGGGCCGCCAGTTGGTGGTCACTGGTCTATACGATAGAAAAATTAGCAGATACAACCCGAACCGTCTCCATGTAAACGGGGCCATAGTGTTCTTGCAATGTGTATGTATAACCAATCAAAAATGACATCAAACCTGACTTAATGAGAAAAAATGCTGTCAAAAGATGGTTGGATGAGAAATCTTCCTTATTTCCCCTCTTAGCATTTCTTTAGTAACTTTGAGAATTTGCTGCAGTCGACAATTGTTGTAAGGATTAATTTAGGAAATTTAAGCTATTAACTTTCTTTGTACTTTCTCAGACAAACAATTAAAAGAATGGTGGTTATTCTCAGTACACAGTATTCTGCTCACTGAAGGGAATATCTCTATTATTGACCTTTTATTCTGTTTTCATGTGAATGAGGTTTAAATATATCTTTGAAGCAAAGGTCAAATCAGTTTAAAAACACACAACACGGAAGTTTGAGAGAGTTGGGCTGATTGTTGTGGTATGACAGTGCTAGTGAAGGGGTAACATAAGTCTTGGCTGTCTGAAATAATTTGAGCTTGTTGTCTGGAATAAATGCTGTTCCTTAAGGCCAGTGTCCACAAAGCGCCTTTTTCTGAACGCCAGAATGCATAGAAACAATAGAAAAGTACTAGAAAAAGGTGCTATGTGGACACGGCCGTTACTCATGTTTGTTCACTGGAATCTCATGTGATGAAGGTAGGACTGACCCTGATGAAAAATGTCTGTCTCCAAAGTTCTGTTGTAATGTGTTGGAGCGTTGTCTTCAAAGCGGAAGGGCCTCCAGTGGTGACTGTGAGTGTGTGTGTACTGGTTCTCCAAGCCGGGAGTGTGTATGTTCAGAGCCATTGCAGTGTCCAGTGGCAGACCGTGTTTGCTCTATAGTCTTGCTCAGTGACTCCTATCCTCTCATTGGCAGATTTTTTGTGTCCCACGGTGATGAAATGTCATGGTTCTGGTCACGTTTGCAGCTTATTCATTCACATGTTGCCCTGAGAACAACCTGAGCACAGCACTAATGGCTCCCTCCCTGCCTGCCTGCCTGCCTGCCTGCCTGCCTGCCTGCCTGCCTGCCTGCGTGCGTGCGTGCGTGCGTGCGTGCGTGTGTGTGTGTGTGTCTTTGGTACGAACGAAGGGAACCGAGTCCAACTTGGTCAGAGCCGTTCTTTTTATCGTTGGTTCTCTGCCTGCCATAAATCCACTCGCCTTTAAAAGGAACTTGCTTTCCTGAATGCACATTAGCCATAGATGATGGCATAACGCATGCTGCTTGAGTAGTAGTTTGGATGCCTGAGAGATGTAGCAAGTTATAGATTTTCTGTGAGTAAAAGTAGATTTCTGGCAATACAGGCAATCATTATCCTGGTGATTATTTCGCAGATAAACATATTAGCCCCGCCCCCTTAAAAAGAACCGCTCTTTCGAAAGGCTCTCGGAAAGGAACGAAGCCATAAGATCCAGCTCCCTTCAAAGAGCCGTAATTCCCATCACACGGTGTGTGTGTGTGTGTGTGTGTGTGTGTGTGTGTGTGTGTGTGTGTGTGTGTGTGTGTGTGTGTGTGTGTGTGTCTCAGTGCTTCTCAGGGTCCCACTCTGGAAGTTTCTTCACTAAGGCCTTATGGTCCACACCCACACTGGCCACCAGGCCTCCTTTGTTGAGCGCTGTGCCGCTGTAGTCGATGTCCTCTCCCTTTAGCGTGGTCATGTGGCCTCCTACAGTCAAGGTGTTTACATGTCATCAGTACAATGCACAACCCATAATAAACATGCCTTGCAGAGTTCATCACGCTATTAAAAAAAGTTCAATACAAAAGGCCCTTATAGTCTAGTTGCAAGCACTGTGAACCGGGAAATGTTGAGTACCCCAAAGTTTCATGATAGAAATGTATAGTACGTCCCCAGCACGTAGAAACTGAAGGATGATTACTTGCATATGTTGGGCAATTTGCACATTTAGCATAAAGTATGTTAATTATAATTAAATATCATTATAGCAATTTAAGACAATAGTTAAAAAAATGGCTTGTCTGATTTGGTTTTGGGGGTTATTGAGGATGCTAAATACATTTCTGACAGTCTCAGGATCTAAAATAGCAGTTTCAACCAGAAAGTGGACATATTTGTACTGTCAGTGGGTTGATTTTGACTACCATGAGTATGTGTTGTGACCTTTTGATAGGAGCACAAGATGAAAATGATTACCTCTACTGTGGGTAGTCCCCTAAAACTGCAAAACCGACCAAAAATGAATCAAAATCAGCCAACAGAGTACAAATATGGCCACTTTCTGGTAAAAACTGCCAGAAATGCATTCAGCATCCTCAATAACCCCCAAAACCGTTCCAAAACTGTCAATATCTGACCAGTTTCTGTTGTTGACCAAATTGCCAAATATATGCAAGTTAGCATCCTGCAGTTTCTATGTGCTGGGGATCCCCACTATACATTTCTAGAATAACACTTTGGGGTTCTCAACATTTCTGGGTTCACAACAGAACTCTATGAGCTGTAAACAGACTATAATATGTTATCTCTTTAGAAATGCAACTGATATCTAAGCATTTAAATATGTTTAGGTTTGGAGAATGCTTGGTGCATGATATATTATTTACACGCAACATAAATACTACAAGTATATATTAGAATAAATGGCCTTACTAGAAGGGAGAGTTCCTCCATGAACAAACCATTTCCGGCCAGTCAGAGACTTTGGCTCATGGCAAATGAAGTCCAGTTAATAATGCGTTAGGGCTGCACGATATTGAAAAAAACTAACACTGAGATATATATTGCGTTTTTTTTAACTGTAATTAAACGGATGAAGGATTTTATTTACGGACGTCTGGATCTTAACTGGTTGACTCATCATACCTTATGTCATGATCTAACATGTCATGATAATGCAGGTTGCTTACCCTCAAATAAGGGGGTTCATCTGTGAATGAAGAAGAGTGGTGTCTAGAAGGGATCCAAGAGATTAAACGTATTACATTGAACTAAAGGAAACTTCATTATCACATTAGGGAATTAACATACGTGACCAAATAGGTAATTTAACTTTTTATTCCACAATTAAAACCTTTTTTGTGCAAATAGCAGCAAAGTAGTGGACATTATACAAATAAAATTAAGAACAGCTATACACCAGCTCCTTTATGCCGTTTTGAACCTTTCTCATATGGTGTAATACCAGCAAAGGCATCTGAAATAGTTGTTTGCTGTGCATGCAGACTCAGAGCCTGCATGTCACTCCACTCAAGTAACCCTGACATGAGAGCCGGGCAAGATTTCCTTTTGTAGCAAGCAGAAAAATAATTGTAATATGACGTGTTTGAGTTAATTTACCTACTTAATATGGAACGCCCTAAATCTTTTTTTTTAAAATACAAAAAGAAACGCACGTCCCTGCAATGTGAATATCGCGCATGCGCATATCGCGGTTATCGCCATGACACGGTATATCGTTCAGCCCTACAATGCGTTCCCAAACAAACAGGGGTGTTTATAATTTAGTCGACAGGAATATCTGAAGAGAATTTGAAGCAGTAAAAGAGAGCCACACATTGGAAAATAATAGCTGTTACATTACCCAGAGCGCTCAGTAGTGCTGCACCGGCGCAGATGTCCCATTTCTTAATAAAGGTGACGTGGATGTAAACGTCTGCCTGGTCCATGGGAATGGTTTCACTTGAAGGCATCTCTAAAAGTGACAGGACCTTATATCCTGAGGGAGAGAGAGACAAGGTCCAATATGATTCTTTGTCACACTAACGTATGCTGATATAAAGTCCTACACATAAGATTTTGCATAAATCTCTTTACTGTCCATTACAGAGCGAGGGCTGCTCCCCCTAAGTCAAGAACGCTGCGATCCTCTGCTGCTGGTTTGTTAAAGGAAGCTAACGCCAGCCCTCTGCTGCCTCAATACACTCTGAAGCATCTTAAACTGTCACCTGGTTTAGTGTTATTATTATTAATATCATCCCATTGTGCCATTATCTTGAGTTGTAATCACAATGTGCACTTGCACCATCGTCCTTTTAATGCGCTGTTATTGGTAACTATATTCTATGTGATGTCTATTTTGGTGTCAGTTATTACAAATGTGTGGATATGTAAACCTTTAGAACAAAGCAAGTATGAAAAATGTGAACCAGTTTACCTTTTTTTCATTTTCAAACATATGCTTCAGTCATCCTTTAAAGCAGCATCATTGCATCAATACATATACTCGCACTGTTCTATGTAATACACTGATAGCTATAACATGGAACTGGCAACCCTTGGCTAGCAAGTGGGGAGGAAGCATGGCACATAAAAGATCACAAATGGATACAATTATTTGAACAGTTAAGAAAAACATGTTAATAAAAAATAGGAGTACCAAAGCAATAAAGGAAGTGAATAGAGGGAAACAGTGTCGTGACATATTGGACTAAATGGCCCATGCTAGTTCTTTGGCAGAGAAAATGTGTCCAGTGAAACTGAACATCTCCAGTACAGTTTTTAACAGTTGAGCTTAAACGATAAAAATGTTATAAAGGTCTTAAAGCTCACATATTATGCTATATTTGAACAATATATTATAGGGCCATATCTATAATTCAGCCCCGGGGCCCGTTTAATACCGGGGCTCGGTACCCACCCCTAGTCTGCAATGTTCAAAACAACAGATAAAGACAGACATCTATGTGTAGTCATGGACTCTGACCTGAGTTTCAACATTCACATTAAAATAATTACTAAATCAGCCTACTATCACCTAAAGAATACATCTAGGATTAAAAGACTAATGTCACAGCAGGATTCGGAAAAACTTGTCCATCCTTTTATCTTCAGTAGACTGGAATACTGCAATGGTGTCTTCACAGGTCTCACTAACACATCTATTAGAAAGCTTCAGCTGATTCAGAACGCTGCTGCTCGAGTCCTCACTAAGAAAGTGGATCACATCACTCCTGTTCTGAAGTCTTTACACTGGCTTCCTGTGTGTCAAAGATAGAATTTGAAATCACTGCCTGCTGGTTTATAAAGCACTGAAATGGTTTTAGGCCCAAAATACACTTTTCTGACCTCCTGCTAAATTAGGAACCATCCCAGATCCCTCAGGTTTTTTCAGGGACCTGTCCCAGCTTTCCTGTCCCCAGAGTCAGAACTAACATGGAAAGTTATTATTATCCTCCAAAATATTGGACAAACTCCCAGAACTGCAAGTTCCGCTGCACTCTGACTACTTTTAAAATCCAGGCCCCGAGGACATTTTCATTTTTTGGTCGGGCGTGCTTTTTAATTGATCATATTTCACATCTTAAACTGCAACTGGTAACTTCATTATCTTTGCCGTTTTATCTTTGCTTTTAAATGAGTGGTTTTTTAAATTCATTTTTATATCCATTGCTTTTAAATGAGCGTTTCTAGATATCATTTTATAATGTTTCTTAATGCTCTTAATGTCTTTTCATTTTTGTAAGCACTTTGAATTTCGCTCGTGTTGAAAAAGTGCTATAATGAAATAAACTTGCCATTGCCTTAATCTTGATATTAACGGCTTACAGTTTTAAATGAAAAACAAAAAATTCAGTTATTTGTCAAAATTAGAAATACAATAAGACCAATGAAACACCTTTTTGCAGAAGGCCGACAATTTTCTGTAGTAAAATCAGTTTTTTTGTAATTTGTCTTTTTTAATTGTTTTGAGATACACTTGGTAAATGTAAAAAAAAAAAAATAAAAAAAAGTCCTGTACAAACTCACCGCAGGCCTCCTGCTTTCTAATGATTGTTGTGGAGTTTTCCAAAAGCATCGTGAACAAAACTCTTCACTTTTCCCCGGAGTGGGAACGGGAGACAATGGCCTTGGGGGTGCCTTGACACTGTAGGCAGGAGGGCTCTCATATTTTGACCCCCTGACCTAACAAACGCCCATGCTGAGGGGTAGAGGACAGGCAGCAAAGGGAGAAGAGGGAGAAGGAACATCATAACAGATATTCTTTGAGGCAATTCCAGCTTTAATCCTTTCAACAAAGTGTTTAATACACACCAGTGGAGTTGTGAGGAAACACACTGAACCAGTGAAGCCGGTGGAATGGGCACGTGTATGACCCCACTGACTGGTTTTCCATCTACAGCCACAAACACACCCATGGTGGTCACAAACCCCTTCACCAGAATTCTCTATGAGAAGAGAGATCACGCAGATAGAGAAAGGAAGGGAGTGGAATAGGCAGGACTGGCCAACCAGTCAGAGATAGAGGACTTTTTTCTATGTTTACTGCAAAAGAGCCCAATCAAACACACAGTCCACTGATACGTGTTTCAGTTTTTTTTGTTTTCTGGAGACACCGATTTCAAACCACTCACTGATGCATTTTTTGTGGCATTTGGGAAGAATATTTTTTAAATCGTCTGGAGCAGAGGAGGAGCTGTGGATTATGTTATTGATTAATGCATCAGTGTTTCTTAGGGTCCAAAAAAAAACACTAAACTCACAAACTTTAAAATGAAAGTGTTCTTAATTTAATTTACATAAAAGAGCCAAGTTTTCAATGGGAAAAGTGACAGTAGTTATAGATTATTTGGCCAATTTGGTGGCTAATATATATATATAAAATAAATAATTATATATATATTGTTTTTTTAAAACACCCTTTGAATTTCAGGGGGGCGTAGGGACTCCGTGGAGGGCGGCAGCGCCCTCCAAGGCAATGGTAGGAAACATGATAGTGTTTAAATCACGATAGTTTTCCACCCCTCAAGGTGATTGGTTTCACTGCATCGCAGGTATTATTGTGATTGGCTCTTGGGCCAACATCAAAATTAGACGCGCTATTCAATCCCTCTCATACTGAACACCTGAAAAATGACACCACACATACACACGTAGGAAGAGCCGGGACGAAAGTTAACGGAGCAATTTTATCCGAGCCAACCAACGTCAGAATTATCACGCATTCAATACTTTAACAGACTACTAATATCCAGGTTTAACTGTGAGGAGTATGTTGTCATGATACCAACATTTTGGTTTTCGATACCGATACCAATTTCAAGAATTTGAGATTCGATTCTTTGCGATACTTTTTCTTAAAAAAAGGGGAAACAGTTCCCTTAAATGTAATTATTGTGCTTTATTTCACACCAGAACCAATTAACACCACTTTTTAAACAATGAGAACAATAAAATAAAAAATTAAATGACAATAATCGTATTAAATACAATTAAATACATTCTACAAGACAGGCCTCGTGGTTGTCCGTAGCCTTGCCCTCACTTTCAGAGATATAGCTAAAAATCACATTTCGCTTCTTGCGTCTTTTTTGTTCACAAGACGAGGCGGCAGCGCGCCAGTTGCACTCCCACTTGCAAGCAATGCTCTCGTTTTTCTCACAAATGCTTCTGGCAGCTAGCGCGTTGCAAACGAGAGAGGGGAGGCACATTGAAGCGTGCTAGAGGGGAGGGACTGACAGGCACGAGCTGCCAGTGCAGGGATTGGAAGCAGTAGCGCTGAAACACACACGACTCTTAATTAAACAGCGCTTTCTTCACCGGACGTACTTTCACCGTCATTCTTAAAGTACCGATACTAAGAAACGGAGGATCGTAACGTTTTAACGGCAGGGTAATCGCGTTACTTTCAAGTATCGGTACACCGTGCAACACTAGTCAAGGAGTCAGTGTCTCCCCCCAACCATCACACATATAAATTTCGATATGACTGAAGAGACCGCATGAAACCTAGGCAAAGATTCCGCATACGGCCCGAGAGCGCGGGTTTGGCCCCCCTGGAAATAGAGGGTAGACAACCAGAGGACAGAAGACAGGGGAACATTTGTAATTTAAAAACAGGCTGAGTGAGGACCTACTGTCAGTGATGGATAGGACTATTCGGGTTTCAATTTCATTTAATTCGGATATTCGTTTTTTTATTATTTTATTATTTTCTAAAATGTATGCTATTAATAAGGCGAATTGCCATATTCTTATACTATATTTATACTTTTTGAATTGCCTGTTAAAAAATGCGGAAAAATATATACATCTCAGCCTGTTGCTACCTGACATCGGCGTTCACTCACAGTCACGAACGCAAAACGGCACGCTTCACTTCGCTTCACCTCGTTCACCCACAAAAAATGCGAAGACTTCAGCTGTGTGGGGACCATTATTAAATTGGACGCGCGGTAAGAAGAATATTGCCAAATATGCAATAAGAACTGGCCTACCACAGGTTTGGCACAACAAATCCTGAAAAGTCAACCTGGATGCGTAAGTTAGTAGCCCTAGCTTAGCTTGTTGTCAAGTTGCCCCATGACTAAAGCTGCTTTATCCGCGTTTTAAACAGTAACGTTAGCATATGAATAAAACGTGCACTTACTTTGCTTGGAAAAATATTGCAAGCAGCAACCAAATTGTTTTTTTACATTGTTTTTTTAATTCTGATCCGAATAGTGAAAATCAATAGAAGTACTCGTGGGAACATCTGGGGCTAGTTAATGGCATAAAGGTTTGAGTAGCTCAGTCAGCCTAATAATAACTTGTGTGCAATCCCCACGAGCATCCCAGCCACAACATCTCAACATCACAGCCAACCCTTACAGTTACCCTAAAGAGGACACATTTAGTTTTAAATGTTGCGAGTTAACCTAAGACAATAAATAAATATAAATCGTAATAGTAATTGCTCTTTTCTGCGCCTTCCTGCTTAACAGGCTGTTGTCAGGTGATTCGGAATTCGGAGCGTGTTTATGAAACCTTTTTTTTCTCCCAAAAAGTTTTTTTGAAAAACATTTATTAAAAAGAAAATTACAAATCTCTCCGCACCGAATTATTCAACATATTCGCTGCTGAATTACTACCAGAATATCCCGGAGCCGAAAAAATGGTATTCGGGAAACAGCCCTAGTAAGATGACCAAGAAGACTCTTACTGGCCCCAGTAACAGGATGAATTGTTGTCGAGGCTTCTATGGCATGTTCGACGACTTTCCAATACATAGGGGAAAAACAAAAATAAACCCAAGACCCGATTTAAAAAAAAGCCGGAACACCAACAACCAAAATTAAAAATGATGATTTGATATATGAAGATTTTTGCCTAATATACTTGTTTTTTGTTAGTGGCGGGTTTTCGTTTGGGGATGAATAAGCTTGTTTGGATCATGGCACTGTTGGGATAGCTTTTTCCCCACCCGTAAGCCATAACGGAGTCGGTGGCCGTCAGATCCCCGGTGAAAGGTACTCAAACCAAGATTAACTTTTAGANGGAGCCCGTGACCTAAGTCATACTACACTGTAGCTATGTTCGTATGACAATGTTGTAGTGTTAATATTTCGCATCACGTTCAAGGTTCAAGGTTTTCATTTTGTCATACGAACATAGCTACAGTGTAGTATGACTTAGGTCACGGGCTCCTCCAACAATGCAACACAATAACACAGATAAATAGCAAAATATAGTGCAAGTAAATAGTAAATACAAAAATAAATAGTTTAAAAAAGTGAAATAGTGAAATAGTGCAATAACAGTCTATATGGAAGTTATTCGAATATGATATATTAGATAAATAGATACATAATTTCTAAGTAGCAGATAGATAAATGTATGGATGTTGTCACAGGTACATTTATAAAAAAGAATAGCCTCCTGAAAACATTTTCAGAATGTTTCTTGGAGAATGTTCTTCATTTGTTATCATGTAACATTGAGGGAACGTTTTGTAAAAAGACTTTGTGTGTTACCCCGACAACGTCCA